AAAATATTTTTCGTTATAATTAAACAATTATGTTTTAAATATTTATTACATTATAATATATTAAAAATAGGGAAATTTTAAAATCTTTTCAATTTTTTTATTAATTCTTTGAAATAATTTGCGGTTTTTAAAAATTAATTTTATTATATTAATTTTTAAATCAATATTTTTTAATTAAATTAATATTTGGTTATGATTTTATAAACCTTTTGGGGTTTTTTAAAATAAATAACTAATATTAAGTGAATATCATTAAAATCATAGGTGTACTGCAAGCGGGGCTATGCAGGGTTAAACCACCCTATTTTTTTTTAACTTCCTCCTTTCCAAATTTTGACGAATTTTATAATTGTTAAATTCGAATTCCTTTATTCTTTATTATTGTTATAAAAATTTAAATTTATACATATTTTTTTACTTACTTTACTTTATTAGCCTAGTATATTACCTTTTTTTTGTTTTATACTTTTTTTATAACACATAGAAGATAGAGAAGCATGAAGTTTTATTTTTTCAATATTTTTATTTTCATTTTATCATCAATAAAATAAAATTTTTGATTTCTCTTATTTAACATTTTTTTAGATATTATAAAAAAATATTAGGATAATAAAAGGCATAAAATACTTTTTTAAAAATTTTTTCCTAAATTAAATATGAGAACCTAGGCTAATATAAAAGGTACTGGTTGGAGAATAGAATGTAATAACAATCGACAGTGACGATAGGCTTTTAAATTTTACTCAAATTAAAAATGAAAATATAGGCTAATATAAACACTGGTTGGAGAATAAAATGCAATAATAATCAACAGAAGAATTTTAAAAAATTTGAATAAGTAGGTTGTTGGGTGTTTGATTAATCATTATTCTTTGAAAAATGTTAGAGATAATTATTTTAAATAAAATTAAAATAAATAATGTTAAATAGACACAGTGGCAGGCAAAGATGAGAAAACAAAAATTTATTTATAAAAAATTAATTTAACATTGTTGAACATGTCTAAATTTTAAAGTTTATATAGTTTTATAAAATATGAATTTGAATATAAAATAAATAAAATAAGTTTGTTAAAGTCGCGATACATAAGGGATATATTTTATAAAAGGTCGTAAGCGATATATTTTATAAAAGGTCGTAAGCGATATATTTATAAAAGGTTATAAGCGATATAATTATAAAAGGCCATCAGTAGAAATCGCGATGTATTCATATATTACAATTATTTTAATCTTATTTTAATTAATATAATTTATTTAATTTTATTTTAAATAATTATCTCTAACATTTCCCTCTCTGAGAAGTCCAGTTACCGCAGTCGTCGGTTCATGGTTGTTGATCTGTCTTTTTTGTATGTCTTGTGGCATCAATAACTTTTAGTGGTATAATCATCATCGTGGTGTTTATTAAGTTGTCACAATTTTAAAATAGTTACATCAAGTTTATATCCTTTAATTTCAATGATGGATATTCCAATTTATTTTTTAACAAATTTTATCAAGTTTATATTCTTTAATTTCAATTATGGATATCCCAATATATTTTTCACAAATTTTGTCAAGTTTATATTCTTTAATTTCAGTTATGGATATTCCAATATATTTTTCACAAATTTTAATTTTCATTTTAAACATTAATTTACGAATATATTTTAAATCTTTATTTTAAATATCATTAATTTAAGAATATCAACTTAAATTTTCAATTTACTTTAAATGTTTTATTTTTTTTTTAAATTAAATACTTTAAATTATTTATTTTAAATTTTTTTACTTTAAATTTTTCCTTAAATTTCTCCTCCCTAAAAATCTTGAAAGTAAGGTAGGATAGTTTGGCTTTATTGAAATTTATAAACTATATCATATCTTGTCATAAATAATATCACATCAGTACTATATTATTATATCAAATTGGAATGTTAAATTCATCATTAATCGGAGTTTATATAATCGTTTTTTGATAGGGGGGTTGGTTTGAATTTTCGTTATCATAGTTAGCTAGCTTTAGAGTGGTATAAGAATCATTTTTCGCCAGGGGTTGGTTTAGATTTTCTTCATCATAGTTAGCTTTAGAGTCGTATAAGAATCATTTTTCGCCAGGGGTTGGTTTTAGTTAGCTTTAGAGTCGTATAAGAATCATTTTTCGCCAGGGGTTGGTTTAAATTTTCGTCATCATAGTTAGCTTTGGAGTCGTATAAAAATCATTTTTCGCCAGGTTGGTTTAAATTTTCGTCATCATAGTTAGCTTTGAAAAATGACATCCAATAATAATTTTATTTTTAACGTTCTCATCTATAGCTTGCCAAGTGCCCATACGTCTTAAAGTTTATATTTAATTTTAATTTAAGAATTTTTTGGTAAAAAAAATATCAGAAAAATTATTTTTTTTAAAATTTATTAATGAACCTTTACCGCGGCCAAATAGACAAGGTGGCAGGCAAAGATGAGAACACAAGAATTTATTTATAAAAAATGACCTTTTATAAAATATATCGCGACTTTTACAAACTAATTTTATTTTATTTATCATATATTCAAATTCATATTATTTTATAAAACTATATAAACTTTAAAATTTAGACATGTTCAACAATGTTAAAAAAATTAATTTTTGTGTTCTCATCTTTGCCTGCCACCGTGTCTATTTAACATGGAGGCAGCGGTAAAGGTATTAATAAATTTAAAAAAAAAAATTTTCTGATATTTTTTTTACCAAAAATTCTTAAATTAAAATTAAATATAAACTTTAAGACGTATGGCCACTTGGCAAGCTATAGATGAGAACGTTAAAGATAAAATTATTATTGGATGACATTTTGCAAAAGCTAACTATGATGACGAAAATTTAAACCAACCCCTGGCGAAAAATGATTCTTATACGACTCCAAAGCTAACTATGATGAAGAAAATTTAAACCAACCCTTGGCGCGAAAGCTAACTATGATGACGAAAATTCAAACCAACCCCCTGGATAAAAACGATTCTATAAACTCCGATTAATGATGAATTTAACATTCCAATTTGATATAATAATATAGTACTGATGTGATATTATTTATGACAAGATATGTAGTTTATAAATTTCGATAAAACCAAACTATCCTACCTTACTTTCAAGATTTTCAAAGAGGGAAAAGTTAAGGAAAAATTTAAAATAAATAATTTAAAGTAATTAATTTTTTTTAAAAAATAAAGCATTTAAAGTAAATTGAAAATTTAAGTTGATATTCTTAAATTAATGATATTTAAAATAAAGATTTAAAATATATTCGTAAATTAATGTTTAAAATGAAAATTAAAATTTGTGAAAAATATATTGGAATATCTATAATTGAAATTAAAGAATATAAACTTGATAAAATTTGTGAAAAATATATTGGAATATCCATAATTGAAATTAAAGATTATAAACTTGATGTAACTATTCTCAAATTGTGACAACTTAATAAACACCACGATGATGCTATTTTGTCTCAAATTAACACGTGGTACAGATAACCAAGATGATGATGATTATACCACTAAAAGTTATTGATGCCACAAATTGACATACAAACAAGACAGATCAACAACCAATTGAACCGACGACCGCGGTAACTGGACTTCTCAAAGAAGGAAATGTTAGAGATAATTATTTAAAATAAAATTAAAATAAATAAATTATATTAATTAAAATAATTATAATATATGAATACATCGCGATTTCTACTGATGACCTTTTATAAATATATCGCTTATAACCTTTTATAAATATATCGCCTACGACCTTTTATAAAATATATCGCTTATGACCTTTTATAAAATATATCGCGATTTTTACAAACTTGTTTTATTTTATTTATTTTATATTCAAATTCATATTATTTTATAAAACTATATAAACTTTAAAATTTAGACATGTTCAACAATGTTAAATTAATTTTTTATAAATAAATTTTTGTGTTCTCATCCCACTGTGTCTATTTAACAAAAAATATTTAGATATTTTTTAGTATCAAATTCTTCGGTGTCCTTTTGCCAATTGAACCATTTTATTTTATTAATTGACTGATATTGAAAAAATTAAATTAAATCATTAGGAACATATTAACAATAATTTAAATACTATGTAGGTGAATATTTACAGATATAGCTCGATCTTGAAATTAAACAAATATACAATCTAAAAAAATCCAAAGCTAGCAAGATTAAAAATAGACGTATTTATTATTTCGCTAGAAAGCGTCAAAGTCCCGTCTGAGGCTACGTCTTCACAGGCAATTTACAAAATGCGCATATAATTCTTTTTTATTGATATGCATAATAAAAAGCGTGAATATTTGTTAAGACGCTCACATCTGTTTATATTGTTTACAAACATTTGCGAAAATAAAATGCGCGAATATGCGAATTTTTATTGCTAGCGAAAAGACAGCCTAATGAATAATTTTGAAAAGTAAAATGACTTGAATAAATTTTAATAAAATTATTTTTTATTTTAGAAAATTCTTTCCGATATATTCTTTTTGGCCCAAGGAACCTAGATGCGCGATTTGGAGAGAAGCAAATACAAAGAATCTACCAAAGATTCAGATTAAATAAATATGAAACGGATATTGGAGTAGATTCCAGATTCATATATCAAAATATGGAAAAGGAATCCGTGAGGCGAATGAAATCCTTTCACAAAAAAATACAGCTTAAAGAGAACAAAGAAATGAAAGATTTATGGAAAATATTTTAATATTTAGATATGGTAGTATCAAATTTGTGACATTATTTTTAAATATATTATAAATAAAGAATTTATTCATATTTGTAATAAAAAAATTAATTATATATATATATCATATTTTTTGATAATATATTTTTTAAAAATTGTAGCCCCCCTCCCGCCAAATTTTAGCAGGGTGTACTCATTCTTATTATTGTTAGTCTAAAAAATTACATTTTATTTTCATACAATTATTAAAATTCTTAAAAGAAAAAAACACGAGGTAGGACGCAACCTAATTTTATTACCCAAAAATAAGATCGATCCATTGGTTGAGTCGGGCTGATACGAATGGACTCTCGAGCGCGGCCCTATTGATCGTTATGAAGAGGGTTGGGTCCGACTTAGCCCAGGGTGGTAAGACAACATCGTTTAAAATGGGTCCACTTTGTTTGCGGCCGAGAGAGAAATGATTTGCGTTGACGAGGAAATTTTGGGCTGGAGGGGAATAATAAAACTCGGGTAAGCTTTCCTTAACGTCCGCCATGTTATGAAGTGAGGCCGATAGCCAGGCTTCGCCAACGCTGTGAAACATGCGGTCTGGCAAATCAAAATGGCCACCCTTTCATTTTATTGAATATCATTTGAAAAATTAAGATTCATAATAAGCAGCGCTGAAACAAAAGTTTCTTAAAATATAAAACTTAAATTATTAGAATATTCAGAAAACAAAAGTTTTAATTTTTATCTAGTTATTACATTAGAAGCCAAACATATTCGAATTTATCGTATATTTATTTTTAAATATTACTTGAAGCTTGAGAAAGTGCTGGGTAAATGGTTCCATCCTGAAAAGGTAGGAAGCCACTATCATGGCCGAAGAATAACAAGTCCCGTAGTGATATGGGGGTGTGCTTTCTGTGCCTGCTCCGCCAACTAACCCGCCTCCGCTCATATTACTGTTAATTTTAGAAGTGCTATCGAGAAGCAACTCACGATCCCATTCATCAAACCTTTTACGAAATTGAGCCAATCTTTGAGGAGTTTGGGCACCCATAGGTTTACCAAGATCTCTAAAGGATTCACACCGCTGAAGATCTATATCCTTTTTTTAAAAACAAAGATATATAATAAACAAGTTTTGAATATACGAAAAAAGGATTCTGGTTCAAAAGAAGAAAAGTATTAGTTCGGCCTAAAATTTTAAGATGTGTTCTACTTCCGGTTTTAAAATTTGTAGCTCCGGTCTCAAATTCTGATCATAACTGACATATTCCTTTCCTCAATATCGTGCTAAAATATGATTTAATTTCTTTCTCCCTTAACCTTTACATTTTTCTGTCATTTAATCAATCTTTCCATAATTTTTTAGGCAACTTATATAAAAAATTCTCGTTACTTGGGATGTGTAATCGGATAAAATCCAAGGAAATACTGGGTATTGCATGAGATCGTTATATGATCGACCGGCCAAGGTATTCAAATACATTAAATATTGAAAATTGTTGATTTCTCCTTTCTATAATATAACAGATTTTTTAAAAAAATTTATCACAGGTTCATTTTGTGCGTTTTAGCGATATTACATTTTAAATATAAAGACATCATCTTATGATTACTATCTATTTTACAGAACAATTATTTTAAAAAAATATTCCATACCATCTTACGATAATGCAGTCTTGTTGATATCAGCTGATACCATAGATTAACTGATACTATGTTAGATCAGCTGAGATCATGTTAAATTATCTGATACTGATACCTTATATGGACCAAAACAGTGTTGGGATCGGTTAAAAAAGTGTTATCGGTGCATCATTGTAATATATCATATATAAACAATTCATTACCACCCATCGTTTAGTGACCGATTTTTCACCGATTATAAAGGTATTCAAAAATCCGGCAGTCGTCGAGGAAGAAGGGCTGAATTCTACATTTACGTTACTTCTTTGACCCGCGATCGAACTTTTGGCATCGTCTATCAGTCTTTTAGCTAGCAGTAAAAATCTTATAGCATAATGTACATAGTTATAGAAAGATTAAAAAAATTATAACTAAAATATTCGGTCCAAAAATATTCCTTATTTTTTTATATATCAATAGTGTTTATTCAAATCTTTTTGGTGGAATTTACTTGGGAGTACAAAAAAAATACAAAAATTCACACATTTATTAAGTAGAAGTCAAATCGAAGATTACATACTATCCGTCAACTGGGTCGTTAGTATGATTTAACTCCAACATAATTTAAAATGAGAAAATGGAGTCCAAGAAGTTTAAAATATTTATGTGGTTAACCTAGAGCCTTGCAAGTCAGTCTAAACCCGGTATCGAGCCTATAAAAATCTGGCTAGCTTATTTCTTTCTATCTAATCTATCTATATCTAATCTATTTATATCTAATCTATCTATATCTAATCTATCTATCTATCTATCTATCTATATATCTATCTATCTATCTATCTATCTATATCTAATCTATTTATATCTAATCTATCTATATCTAATCTATCTATCTATCTATCTATCTATCTATCTATCTATCTATCTATCTATCTATCTATCTATCTACCTATCTATCTATCTTTTAAAAATAAATTGGGAATGTTAATATTTAATTTTCTTTTTGGTCAGTCTCATTATTAAATAATTTAAAAATTTCATAATTGTTTTTAAATTTATATTTTTCAGGGGCCCAAACAGAACCATTAAACTTGTAGTTGGTAATTTGACTTACAGAATCTAAAGCGAACCGTTAAAAATTTTATCGTTCAAACCTGAACCGAAAACCTTTAAAAGGTCTGTGAACTGGGTTGAACCTTTAATATACTAAAACCCTATTTTTAGATATTTTTGTATATTGCCACTTGACGGTGCCAGCTACCCACTTTAACATAAAGATGTGTTCTCAATCATAAATACTTCTTTTTTTCCTTATAGATATAATTAGACAGAATATAATTTTGAAAATATTTCAATTGAGAATAGTGATAAAATTTTTTAATAATATGCGCTTTTCTTTACATCATAGGCGTATCCGCAATTTTCCAATATATAGGCCCACTTATTGTTTACCTTTTGTTTTGTTATATATTTATCAGAGACATGCAGAGGTATTTGCATGGCCTGGCCCGGATTTTCTTTTAAAAAAATTTTTCGGCCCGACATGGGTTTTATATTTACAGATTTTATTAAAATATATTACATTTATTTTTAATTTTTATAGCTAATAATGACCTTAAAATATTCGTGTTTATATGGCCCGGCCCGTGTACCCTGGCCGGGCTTAGGGTCAGGCCTGCAGGTCGCTGAATATTTACATTATATAATAATAATTTTGAGTTTTTACTTTTTTTAATATAAAAATGTCTTTTCCCAAAAATTTTGAATTATAATCGTTATTTTAAAAAATCACTTATTTTTCTTTCAAATTATTGTTTATAGTGATATATTGTATACATGGGGGGGGGCGTGTAGGGGGAGGGGGAATTTTTATACATAATTCTAATAGAGTATATAAGCAAAAAGTTCAAACCAACCGATGTTATCCTTTTTTTACAAACCGAATAAACGTTTTTTTATCTAAACCGGAGCCAATATTCGTTACAACTCGGATCCCAAAAATTTTGAATCGGGTTGGGCTCGGGCCAAAAAATTTAATTTAAGGGTTCTACTTTACCTCAGGTAACGGATGCCTATAGTATTATTTGTTCTAACTACGTCATCTTTATTTTATTTCTTTGTTAACCTATTGTAAACTTTGTCGCGCGTTGTTTTAGGAAACACCAACAAATAATTTCGTCCGTCGGCGGAAAATATTTCTAAACCGATCGGCAACAATAAGTAACGCCTCTTTAAGACTTCCTTTATATCGCAATAAGAAAACTTATGGCACCTTTTAAATAATAATAAAATAAGACAAGTTGAAAATAATAAGTTTTTTGTATTTTATCTTTGGCCAAATAATCTAGTCTAGGCGATTAAAAGTGGGAAATTGTAAATTATCGGGTAGCTTATGAAACCGTCCCGAAAAATTAATTTAATTTTTAAAAATATCCAACATCTGATAGGACATTTATTTTTTTATTCGAAACAGGTTATTAGTACTGCAAACCCCTACTATGTCAACTCCCTTTCCCCTAATAAAACTAAAGTTTAAAAATTATGATTTTTTTTTCTAAATACAGAATTTAAACTATAAATGTACTTCTTTCAATTACTGATTTCTAACTTTAAAAAGGTTCGTTTAGCTCTATAATAGAATAAGTTTTCTATCCTCTTTATTAGGTTAGGTTAGTAAATATAAACACACTTTACTATATTACGTAAATTAATATTGGATAAATATAAATTTTCAAAAATATATAATGATATAATTTGTCAAACTTCTTCTTGATATCCTTTTGCATTGGACTGAATGGTATGATAGGGTCATGATAGTTAGACGGTAACGTATGAATGTCTCTAATTTCTCGTGTTTTTAATAAGGTAAATCCGTCGACAATATAGTAATGATGATTACCAAAGAGCAAAAGCCCTTCGTATGTATCTAAACCATCCACGCGCGCACATCTGAACATCGATTTGATCTTTTAAAATGATAAATCTATTCAATAGAGGTAGGCATATATTTTTTTCTTCTTTTTTTTCATAATATATGAAGATGAACTTAGGAGAAAATCAAGCTTTAGTGAGTAAATTGATATGCACGAACACTTAGTTTTAACGATTTCAGTAAATGCCTTAAGAATATTGAAAGATCCAGCTATATATACACAATATTAAAAGCTTTGATTAAACTGTTATATGATATGGCAATTCTAGGTTATTCACGAAATCCAGCTTCTAACTAACCACTCTCACTGGATATAATTAAACTTGAATGCCACTAAATGAATATTCCAAAAAACAAAAATATTGGATGGGGATCCAATTACTTGCAAAGTTTTAATAATATAAATAAACCTACTAATCTGTATCCGAAGACTGATCCTGACTAAATGGATTTCTTTTGATACTTATTAAAAGATTAAGATATTATACGGTAGGCCTATTCAAAAACGAATTCGAATCGAATAGTGCATTATTACAAATTTGATTTTGAAAAAATTATAATAATATGTAATCAATAATCTGATAATAAATAATATATTATCAAGTTATAAACAAAATTAAAATGTATATTATTAATTTAATTTATAATTTAAGTCAATTTTTAAGGCAAAGAGTTTTTCTTATATTTTCTTCCTTATATGACATGCGGTTTTTTGACAATAAATTAGTTCCAACTGAGAAAAGCCTTTCACAAGCAGTTGATGATCCTTGTATAGATAGATAATCCCTTGCCATTTTCGAGAGTATGGGGATCCGATATGCATTTGTCTTCCACCACATTAACGGGTCAGTATCACTCTTTGCTCTTGGTTCACTCAGATAAAAATCTATTTCACACAGTTGAATATTACTTTGTTTAAAAACAATTTCTAGCCTGTTTTGTTGAATTTTATCCTTATTTGTTTGACAGTTATAATTATGAGCTTATAAAATAAAATCATATTTAAATGGGGGTAAATTAAATGTATATCTATTGTAAATCTCTTTAAATTTGTCCATTAACTTGGATATAACAATATCATAATCAACAGATATTAGTGTTGTAAACGAACGCGTTCAAAATGAACGCGTTCGTGAATGAAGTTCGTTTTTTTGAAAAAAGGTGATGAACGGCGTTCGTTTTTTTGAAAAAAGGTGATGAACGGCGTTCGTTTTTTTGAAAAAAGGTGATGAACGGCGTTCCTTTTTTTTTGACGAACTTTGAACGTGACGCGTTCCTTTTCTTTGATGAACGCGTTCAATTTTACGTTCGTTCAATTTTAATAACACTTTTTATTTTTATTTATTTGAAAAATTAATATTAATCCGCATTTTTTAACAAAAAAGTCTTATATTTTTATTTATTTGAAAAATTAATATTTAATCCAATTTTTTAACAAAAAAGTCTTATATTTTTTAATCAGCTGTTTTTACTTTTTCCTTTTTCATATTGCAATTAACGTACCATAGTGCTACTGCTAGAGAAGATAAGATTAAAGTTTATTAATTTGAAAATTTTATATTTTAATTTAATAGATTAGCATTTGCATGGATATAAATATTTCATCATCAGATTCTGAAAATTAAAATTCAATATTAGATGAATTAGAATTACCATGGCCCAAATATCAAAAATATTTCACTGTTTTAAAATCAATTCCGAGATATCCTTTTTTTTGACGAGGAAGAAGAGGGCAGATTATAGGATGATAACATAGCTCAATTTTTTAAAACAATGGATAAAACATTAAATGTTTTTAATAAATTCCCCCTTTTAAAAGAATTGTTTATCAAGTATAACACCGCAATCCCTTCATCTGCCCCTGTTGAGAGAGTTTTTAGTATAGCTAACGCTGTATTAACTGACAAGCGTTCATGCCTATCAGATGAAAATTTTGAAAAGCAATTATTATTAAAAATTAATAAGAAAAATTTTTTATAAATTAATTTTCTTATCGCTCTATTATATTGTATTTATAATTATATTATCAAAATAAAACTACTATTATTTTTTATCATGGCTAATATATTGTGTTGAAAAATATAAGGCATTTATTTATATTAAATTAAAATTTAAATAAAATTTATCATAATTGAACGCGTTCCTTTTTTTGAATTTGAACGTGAACGCGTTCGATTTTTGTCACTGAACGTTGAACGCGTTCGATTTTTTTAAAAATGTTTACAGCACTAACAGATATTGATTTAAAATATTCTACTTTAAGCCTGGGATCTAATATTGTGGTTATCATTACATCATCGGCAGTTAAATTATAATAGCCCAACAATTTATCACATGCTACTTTGAAACTATTGTTAAAGGATTTATGGAAACCAGGTTTTTCATTTTTTTAGATGTTCAAGAATTAAAATATAACAAGGTATAACCAAATTATAAGTAGAATAATTCTCCCCAAATACCATATTTGTAGTTTCATATAAAGGCAATAGGATAGCTTTAATTTTTATAAGATCCTCCCATTCTTCCTATATGTTATCAAAGTATTATATTATTACCTAATTATAAATTTTAGTTCACCTCTGATATTTGTTTTTCTTGAAGAATTTTAATATTAGTTATTACTTCATTAACTAATTTTGTTATAGCAGGCTTTAACAATAAGCCCCTTTCAATCATTTGGTAGGTGCTATTCCACCTTATTTCACAATCCAATTTTGGTTTTAAAAAATTTAGGGGAGAGTGTAGGGAACTACATATATTTTTTAATAAATTTAATTTTTTAGGGGAATTACGAATCATTCTAATAATGTTTTTTAGTTTTAGAATTAAAGGATCTAAAATTTTTAAAATTTCTTTGGATATTAAATTACTTACATGGGCAAAGCATCGGATGTTCCCTATTTTTATTAATGGATATTTTAAAGAAAATGTATCAATAAATGTTATATTATTAGTTGCATAAGGCCTTAAATGTGTTTCATTTATTGAACTGACATCAATTATGTTATTTATTTTAAAATTTTCATCAATAAAATGGGCTGTTAGCCCTAAAAAAGGAACCAGTGTTGGGCTAGTCCAAATGTCAGATGAAAAATTAATCTGACTTTTATTTTTAGATATTATTTCCTTTACCAACTGTTCTTTTTCTGCAAATGTATTATACATGTGCAATTTAAGAGTATTGGAGCATATTGATTTTATAAAACAATCAAAATCACTTATAAAATTTTTAAAATCATTTTAATTAATAATTTTAAAAGGTATATTATTATTTATAAATAATTTAAATAAATTATCCTTAAAATTAATTTTTTTTGAAGAATTTGGTGTAGACTTTAAAAAAATGTCAATTTTATTATTTTTTTTACTAAAGTGTGAATGAAACCTATTATAATGATTAATAAGAGGAGATGTTGTTTTGCCTTTACATTTTATAATACTCTTGCAATGATTGCAAACCGCCTTTTCACCGTCTTTAAGGATTTGATATTGATCCCATATGATTACTCTCTTTTGTGAGGAAATTTTCTCATCTTCAACATCAAGCATAATTTCATCAGAAGCATTCTCCTCTAACATAATTAGGCTAGCTAACAATAATTATTGTAGAGATGTAATATATTTTTATATACCTCTGGTTTGTGTAATTTTTAATATAATTTATTATGAGATTCAAAAAATAAACTTTTTGTGAGAATCAAAAAATGTGACAAATAATAAATTTTCACTTCAGAAATTTTTAAATTTGTGCTAGAATTTTTATAAACACAAACACATCACCTGTCAGATTGGCAGGTCAACAGAAATGACAACTGTTAGATTTATTAAACATTACGAATAATTCGTTTTATTCGAAGAATAAATGATTATTCGTATTCAGATAAAATAAATAATTTATTATTCGTAATTATTTCGAATTATTTTTGAATAGGCCTATTATACGGTAAAGGAAATGGCAAAAGCTTCAAACAACAACACCTCAGCATTAGTTAGTCCATCCAACCTTAACGTTCTACCCGTGAGAAAAATGTAATCATAAGTCAAGTTATAAAAGAATAAATAACCAATCATTTCGCAAGACTTTAGTCCTTGAATAATCTATTCCGACCCAAATTATTATATCTAAACAGTGAGATATTAACATCGTGGAGATGCATATTGCAGCTAACAAACAAAAAGGTTCTGGCAATAATGAGCGGCAAGAAAATTATGGGTGAATCATAATATTAGGAGATAATAAATTTTACAGATATGCAATTTTTACGTAGCTTAATGAAGGATAATAAATTGGAGAAAAGATAATGAGGAAGGGAGAGAGATTCAAATAATTTTATATTATGCACTGTAGAAGCGAATAGAATGTGTCATTCATTGTAAATAGGGTTTCCAAAATTAATAATGGCTGCTTTAAAAGTTAAGAGAGACTGGTTATATGAAACACACGGCATTTATATTTGAACCAAAAATAATTATTAATACATAAATATACCGTTTCCTTTTCTTCTATTAATCTAAGAATAGCTTGATTATCGGGAATGATTGACGAAACCAAGGGGGATGAAGCTTGAGCTAATGTTCCGGAGGAATCGATTACTTCAGTGCCTTGAGTAAATTTTGCATTATCTATGGATGACGATCCTTCGCTCAGGATCTCCAAGGATCCAATATTAACATTTGACTGATAATCATCAACTATTTTATCTTTCATGAGCTGCTCCGAAAAAGTTTCGGCTTTCCGGGCTACGTCATCCGTATCCTCTACATTTTCCTTGATATCCGAATCCAGAAGCAAAGAAAAGGGTTCGTTAATTATTTTATCAGTTCCCTCTCTTTTTTTTCGATTAGCCGCCCCGGAAGATAATCTTCTAAATTTCATGGATAATCGCCGGATATCTCGTTCGAACTGATCGGCAGGATCCAAAAGATTTCCATCACTGATCATCAAATTCTCGGTTATTTTCGCATCGAGATCATTATCAGCATTCGTCTTGATAGTGGAAATATTCGAATCATTATCGACGCGATTTTTTGAGCAAAATATATCTAACGAATTTAGCTGCCTCCCCTTGCGATTTTTTTCGCAAATATCGTTCACATGTTCTGCTAGAAGTTCACGCAGAAAAACAAATTTTGGTTTAACCTTATTTCTCTTGTAATAGAGTTCGCTGTCCAAACTCAGTGGGGGCTTCAAACTTTTAAATTTCTTGTTTTTAGTGTTAGTATGATTTACTGCATCACGTGATACGATGTAGGGATAATGAACATAGAAATCTGGATTTTGTGTCATTTTTTTACGCATTCTACATGGACCCTCGGTAGAATCCAGTATCCATTTTTCCAAAGGATCTGGTTGTTGCGAGCCCCATAAACTTCTTTCTCTGATCAGCTCCTTCTCTATTTTCTTCCATTGCTCTATGGCGTATTGCCTCCTGAGCACAACTTGAGTTTGGTAGAAATGATCATATTGCATATCTACCAGATCCGATATTATAGATATGTTAACGCCTATATGATCGATTATTCGATCGAGGGATGAATTATCAACTTTGAAATTGATTTCTTTCTTGGGTTTGGATTTCGTGGACTTTCCGAACCCACTCCCTATTTTCTGTAATCCGATTTCCAGTTTTTGTTGAAGATTGGAAGGTATCAAAGAAGCTGAATAAAAAGGAGAATTCGTCCCGCTTAAACTAGTCAAGGACATTTTTTGCTCATTCTCGATGTACGTCACCCAAAAACGTTTAGAGGATTCGTAAAGCAATGGCCTAAAATTGGAAAGTGACGGATACAGAAATGGATTCGTACTGGCGTTAAATCTGAAGACGCTTTCAATGGTTGATTTATTATGTAAATACAATTCTTCCCAGGCTTTTTGGGACGTTTCGCGAATCTGTTCCAACGCGCTCGATTGAGGGTTATTTTTAATAGTATTAACATTGTTTTCCGTCGTGTTGGCGGTGGTATTCAAAACGTGCCAGTCTGGATCGGCATAATATTTTGGGGGCAAATTGGATGCCTCGTGTATACGAAACAAACAATAACACATCGCGGCTATGAATTCGGATATCGTGACACTGCTGTTTTTAGCGAAAATGTAATACTTATAGTTAATAATTTTCCTCAAACAATTCATTATTAGTTCTTTATCCGTTATAATATCCTGCGACAATTGGTACAAAATTAATCTATTGATCGCAGCGTATAAACATTCGTAATTTATGATCCAATTGTTACATTTGGCTTCGATAATCAGGTTGATGATAAAATCAAATACGGGGCCAGAAGAATCCAAATATATTCCCTGCCATATTTTGTCCACCAGTTTCAAGGAAAAATAGGTGATATTGATTTGTTTGTTGATATTCGAAACGCGGGAAGAGGATCTAACCTCGGATTTGGGCAAATTATCAGAGAAAGATAAAACGGCATCGACAGCTACCAAATGCTCCATGGTGGTCGTTAAAATATCAGTTTGAAACCTACAAAATAATGCCCGATTAATGGATGGGTGATTTTCGAGTATCATATCTAATATGTAGTTTTTAGGAGATTGGTACTCGTCAAAACTGTCAACTACGATGCATTTCAAAAAATCTTTAACGAGCCGTTTCAAATGAGATTCTTTGCGTGCCGGCAATTCATCGTTCGAGCGTTTATTAATCATAACTATTTCGTTTCGCGAATTATTAGATTGTGAATTTTGGTCCAAAAGCGAAATCGTGACATCGTAATCGCGCTCAAAATTTTGATATGAATCGGGCGATATGCCCAACAGTATGGTTTTCAAATGCAATAAAAATGGTTCTTGGAAACACACACTCTGAAACTCGATAAAGTTGTGATAAAGAAAAACAAAAAATTGAAGGATTAAACACGAAATATTGGGCTGAAGAGTAGTTTGAGCATCAACATTGCATGGCGGCGAACTCTCTCGTTTGTTTGGCACCGTCAGGATTCTAGAATCGGCGTTCATTTGAGATACGAGGTTCAAAATAAGATATACGACGTATTCGTTTACTGAAACATGATTCGATTCGGCGGATTCGTTTAATGAAGTCGCGGTGTTGGGGGACACTCCAAACACGTACCTACATATAATATCTAGATTTAATCTATTTTCGCAGGTCGGAATTTGTCGGATAGGCTGACCGAGCATCCACGCGAAAAGAATAAGGAAAATGGGGGACGAAACACGATCAGTTTGAGAGAGAATTAATGTCATTAGAAATGAAAAGGATGAGTATTTATGACCTGCCAAAATATTCATTTTAACCGTACGGTGATCATCTGATGGAATTTCGTGATTTTTGGAGGTTAAATTGTATCCTAATAACATTGCCTGACTTTTTTGAAGCACGGATAGCGCGTTATTCAACCAATGGCCGAAACTCGAGGGATCCTGATCTACAAAATTGTCAATGGTGGATGAATTGGCACCTATCACTATTCCTAAAAGTCTCAGCGATTTTATGAATGTCGATTCGTGGATATATGGTAACATAAAATTAAAAAACCAATCTAAACCTAGAGAGCTTTCGATTTTCGAACAAACTTCCTCGTCCTTGGCTCCAAAATTATCAAAGCAAAGAGAGGTCAGAATGTCAAAACAAAGATTTCTTAATCCTATTTTTTTGACATTGACGTGATCCAAAGTGGGCAAGTCAGATTCGTGATCATAACAGAATAGATGCTCATCAGCTGCTTTATGTGGTACTAAGGTAGTCATAAATTGTCCAAAATTCAGCAAATTCTTCGAGAAATTTCCTTCCTTTAGCATTAGGGCCAATATTTTAAAAATTAACTCGATACATGAGCTGTCAAATGATTTAAAGGTTACAATTCGATCTCGCGAATCGATTAAATGACGATGTAGAAAGTAAAGATATTTAGAAATACCATCCATTTTCTGCATGATACCTATATTACTAGAGGACTCGGTCGAATCCATGGTTAATTCAAAGTGGTGTTGAAATAAGAAACGTATAGCTTCCTCGTTTAAATTAAGCCACACTTCAAAGTCGTACAATATATCCTCGAATGCTTCGACGTTGGTAATCTTAACTGTCAACCGTTGAGAGTCTATTGTGCCAACTAAACCAAAAATCAAATATAGGATATGATTATTTAATATGTTTTTTTTAAGTTTCAAAAACAGAGCAATCATTTGGTAGCCCCGTATAGTCGACATTTGGCTCATTGCGTGAGGATTGCTATGAAATACACCCACCAGCGACTTGAGCGAGGCGTAAAAACTTTCTGAAGAATTGGATAGGGCCAATAATCCTAGTATGAGCGGGATCCCGCCAATGGAGAAAAGCGTGTACGCCATTGGTTTAGGGATAAACGTACGAATACCCAAGTAACCTATTATAATTCCACCCATGGAACGAGCCGAGCCAAACAAATGGCCGCTTGTATTATTTAAAAGTTTTATAGGTGTGTTATTATCATGAGTCGACATGTTCATTTGTTTCGCGATGTATTTCGCGTCAATTCTATTAAAAATCTTCTTGATATTTGAGAGTGTCATGGTTGAAAAGGAGGCAGGATGCAAGCTTAGCATTATTTTTTCTTCGGGTATGATGGGGTAATTAAGATCTTCCATTTTTATATCTTTATTAGCTGATAAAATCTTCGTTAACTGTACAGAATTGACCCCATCGCTTTCAAGATAATTTCCAATGTAGGAGGGCCCTTTAACGAAGATCGCAAATATTTGTGCGTGGCTCATTGATTCTTCGAACAAGTGAACCGGCCCTTGCTGCCATGTTAATTTCGAAAATTTTCTTAATATCGGGGGGCTTCCTATGAAGGCGTATAAATTTAAAAATCGAGAGGATGAATTAGAGCTTGAGGACCCCATAGGATACTGTATAATGTAATTCATTTTTTTTGTACCAATTAAGATACCATTTAAATAAAGGGTCACTGAATTATTTTTCAATACGGAGCGATTTATGGATATTCCTATATGGTTCCAGTTATTTTCAGAGAACCAAGTTGATGTCTCCGTAAAAAGGGCAAAATTATATGAGGAATCTAAGTGCGTATTGGTGACTCCGGAAATATTCTCGGCTTGTTCCAAACGAATATAATCCAATGTTAAAGTCGTAGGGGTATGAGAACCGGTAACATTGGTATTGAGATCGGTGACACCTAGCGGTATGTCTCTGGTCGAAATCCAAAAAGCTTTATCGTGAGTGCGAATTCCCATGGACAAGCAAACTCGCTGATGATAATTGCAAAAATTTGTTTTAGATTGCGATTTTTTGGGCTCGTCAGAAAAATCTCTAACAAGGGTCAAAAGTCTGATGGGGTGATTAGATGAGATGTCTCCAAATTCTTTAATCTTAAACCAGGATGAGAAGGAGATCCCGGACTGAGAAGGAAAAATTCTTTCTCCCATTCCTATTCCGCCAATCAGAGGATTTCCAGAGGCTATCGTTACTCCGGTCATTGCAATATTGATATTGCTGGTCTGAGGGGCTAAACTCGGTATATAAACGCAAGCGAAACCCTCCGTGCTCATATTAAACTCAATAAAAGACGCATCGAAGTCATATATTATGTTCATATTGTCATGATGATTGAAACCGTTTTGAGAAGATTGAGTAGTCATGGTTACTAAGCACTTAACCGTGTTTAGCAATGATGTGTTAAGCGCTTCGCAGTCTTTATGGACATCGTCTGTTACGTTCATGGGTATCGTGAGAAATTGTTTTAAATCTTCAGGAACGATAGCGTGAGTGGCTAATCTTTCAAAAATAAATTGAGTCTGAGAGTGCAAGGGTTGGTAAATGTCCTTGAGCGGCCTGGCGAATTTGGTCATTATCAAACGCATCATACCTGATTGTTGGCACATAATTTGTTGATTTCGTTCGCTTCTGATGACCGATTTTATTATATCCATTAAATATTGTTGTAGCCCCAGCTTTGCCGGTTCTACCTCGCTATCAATAAAATAAATCAATTCCATCAGCATTGCGATCGCAAAAGGATGTACAATAATTGCATTTTCGAACGAGGTCACGGATAACGTCGATTGCAGACTAGCATAAGCAAATGTCTGATAGCAATTATTGCTTCGTTCGTACAAATCCAGTCCTATATCGTATACGTGACGTAAAATATAGCAGGCGTGAATTAAATTTAGTGGAACACCTTGAAACTCTTTATTCGACGAATCTATCATCGAGGTCTCATTGGAAATAATATTTACGGTTCTAGAAAATATTTTATCGAACGTATCGTAAAACATTAGCACATCCTTCTGAGTTATCTCATCTAAGTCGACAGATTGAGAAATTTCTGTAATTTCACCGAGGTGGCTAATGCGACCAGGCGTGAATGGGCCTAAAGCCTTAATAGTTTCTACAAAATTTTCGTATTTAATTTCAGCAATGAAAAACTTTGAATTCGCAAATTCGTAACGCATTGAAACGGTGAGAAGGCTAAGAAGACCTTTGAGCATCCGATATTTATCTTTATCAGTGGTAAACTTTACCATTTGATATTGCTCTTGGCAGGGCATTGATAAAGTAGGGGCAAAACAGTTTTCTAGAGACACGAGGGCCGAGAACAGAGAAACAAAACCTCCGACCTTCCGAAAGGTGGAGCGACATCGGTGGCTTTCTTTCATCACGAAGGTCAACGTCTTGAGCACTTGAATTTTTAACTGAGTGTCAGAGGAAGAGGCTAGAAGAAGTCGGGTGAGCCTCTTCATGTCCTCATCGCTTCCAGGATGCAGAAGCAATTGTTGCATCACAGAAAGAAAATGGGGTGCTAATGCAGGATCATTGAGAGGACCGTCATCAGAGCTGAAAAAGGTCACATAGCCCGAGCACTCACGAAACAGGTCAGCGTTTCGGGTATTATTACCAGCGATAAGCAGGCTAAGCAAATCTGTAGCAGATATGAAGGTGTCGTGACGAGTTGAAATTTTAGAACAAGCCAGTGGTCTTAGGAGAGAGCCCGCAATGTCAAGCAACCCCGCTTCCCGTACGGCGTCTTTAAAAATATTTGGATCGTATCGGATCACACGAGCTAAGAACTCGAAAACACGCCGAACAAATCGGTAGTCATTGTCTGCATTGATCTTTATCACCGAAGGATCCAGGCAGAGTTGTTTGAGCGTGACACCGAGTGCAACAAGCTCCTTGAAAAGTGTGGGAGATTCCGTTGTAGTGGTAGTCATAATTGTATCAAACGCGTCAAAGTAGGCATCCCAGACGGCAACCCCAAACAGCGGCAGGCGTTCACAAGCGCGTGCCATGGGGTTGACGCTCTCGCGAACAAAGCTATAGTTCCTCATGTCCGCAGCAAAGATGGCGCGTATCCTAGTTAAAGCTTGTAAGGCAGAAAAGTCTGTATGCCCCTCCAAATAAATAGAGAACAGGGCCTGGAATGCCGCCGTATTACGCAAACGGGGCGGTTCAGATCGGTAATCGGGAGCGAGAGAGCAAAGTCGTGTTAAGAGGAGTGTCGCATTAACGGCAGCGTCGTGGTATGAGGTGTCGAGTTCATAGACAAGGGCTAAATCAGTGAGTAGGGCATAGCCACGCTCGGCCCGAAACTCTTGCAGGAAGCCGTCATTAGCGTTGGTAAATTTGGCAATCTCTTCAAACTCGGCCAAGCGTTCAACGTACGATACCAGGCTTGCTAAGGCGTCAACCATAGCACCTGGGTCAGAAATGAGATGACCGCTATCACATTTAGAAAGGGCGAGCCGAGAACAGTAAGTAGCCAAATCACGATCCACATTGTTGAGGCAAATTGTTATGCAACGTGTGGCGCGTAAGTATCTTAGAAGGGCGTCTGGGGGTGAATAAAGACGCAAAGCTGAGCCAATGGCCTCGTTTGCCAAATTCCGCCAGTCTGAGGCGATTAAGTGGTTAGGCCAAAAGTTGGACGTAAAAGCTTGAAATAGTATCTTCAGGTCGTCTCTAAATTTAATTATTTTGATTTATTTAAAATTTTGTGAATCAATTTTTTTAAGGTCTCAATCAGAGTGTAAAACTGAACCGCGAAATCTGAATAAACCGTTATAAATACTTTCGAGTTTTAAGACTCGTAACGGTTTTTAAAATTTTATTAATTTTTACTCGCAAAATTTAAATATTTATTTTATATAATTTAAATTTTACTTTTTTTCCTTGTGGAATATTAAGCATGCCATTTATTTATTTAAATTTCCCGCTAAATATAAATTTTAAAAAAAAATAGTTTCACCCTTTAAATTTAATAATTAATATTAAATTATTAGACACATTTAGTCATAATTCAGTCTTTTAATATAAATAAATTTAAATAATATGTCAATATTTTAAATTATAAGGAAGGTGTAAAGATATAGGCCAAAATATTATAAATTTGCTGTAACTATGCTAACAAACGCAAATGCCTGTGAATAGAGGGCATTTTTAAGTTTCAATTTTCGTTTTGAGCCGAATTTTAAAAATGGCTAACTCATTATTTCATCCAAAATACTATTAGGCTGAAGATTTTGTTTGTAGAAGGAACAAAGGTTTAGACATTTATTAGCGAAAACTCAAAGCTTAAACAATATTTTTCTAGGTAAAATATTGAGTTAGCCGTTTTTTAAAATCGACTCAAAACTAGTCGTTTAACAACACTAATCCTAACTGATCAGAGGACAAAATTTAACCGCCAAATATTGGAATATATTTTATTTATTAATTCTAAGATTACAAATTTATACATTATTAATCTTCTATTATTTTTTTATTCAATGTTTTATTAATTAATTTTTATTAAAAAAATTCAAAAATTATAAAAACAAGGAACAGGAACGAAACGAAGAAACTCGACCTGAATATGAATCTTTAAACCGCGGGATCAGAACAAAACCGTTATAAAATTTTAAAGCAAAAACCAGAATGGAATTGAATGATCCGTTATACAATTATATAAGTTAAATATTGTACTCTATTTATAAAAAAGTATATTTAGATTTCTCAATCTTCTCTATGTGTTGTAAAATATAATATAATTTTTAAATGCTATAATAAAATTGTTTTTATAAAACAAACTTCTCAATCAGTTCCGCAAGTCCCAAACTGTGTCCACATAAAATTAGTGTTAAACTAGAGAATTTCTCCAGAAACAGTTGGTAAAAGTTCTTTACATTATTGCTATTATTAGAATTATCTAAATTTAAATCTAGGCCTTCACTACGAAGATTATCGACTAATAATATGTCATCTTGTCTCACGTCATAACTGTCATTACTAGTAATAACCATTTCCCTATCACGATCTTTTGGAATGTTGTTGATATGGTCAGAAAAATCCGATCTTAAGAAAGGAAGATTGGCGAAAAGCGAAACGCACATCACGAGTGTAGAGGGCAAGCCAGTGGAAGACAAAATATCTAATATAGGTTTGCCGTTAATACCGTGGCAATTGCTACCATCATTTGAATCGTATGGTGAAAGATTGGTGCTATCATTTCGAATAAATTGATCCTTCGCATCCTTTTTGCTTCTAACCCCCATCGCGAAACGACTAGAACTTAAGGGGGAATCATTTGAACAGTCAGCCAAAATGGCTAGAGTGCATAATAAATTCCAGCCATTCCTGAAGTTGGCATCCTTTGATTCGCGAGTCTCATTCGTGACGTCATCATTGCATAATTGAAGAGGGGCAATTGTGGAGTTGGAATATGCGTTCATCAAAAATTTGAAGATAGTCATGCTGGCATTTTCTGTAAAAATATTTTATTAATCTATTTTTACTTTTTAAATATTAATTTACCTCCAAAAGCGATCTATTCAAAAGAACTGTTCTAAGTTTGGCCAATTATATCTTAATACATTGTTAATTATCAAAAATAAAATTGGTACTTATTTCCTATTTTTTTTTCTTTCATCCATTAAAACATAATCATTAAAAAATATTTTATAAATAACGACAAAATCAATCAATAAACGTAGGGCTTTTAATTAAATTAGAATAAATAAGTCCCTGAGCTGACTATTAGGTATAAGAAAATATAGAAAAAATAATATATTAAATGAAGACCTAGTATTTTTATACTATCAAATAATTATCACATGAAATATCAAAAGATTATGCCAAATAAAGTAACGTAATGATTATTTTTTTTTAGCAAAATAGCTTGAAATCGATTGAAATGATAAAATAATCGATTTTTTGTTGTTACCATTTCTTTAAAATTAAAATAAATTAACAAAATTTGTTAGTCATCTTGGTTCAACTATGGTCTCGCTGGCGTGTCAATTAGATAAATTCCAGTAAAATCCTAATTTTTCATAAATAAAAAGATTGTTCGATAGCCAAAAGTAATTTTCCCAAGCTTGGAAATTATGCCCACCTATGGCAGAGGTTTGGATATCTATTTCCAACATTTTGAGGCTTAGGGAATAGAATTTTAGCTAAAATCATTATTTAACAGTTTTATCAGCTAAATCGATCAACACTACTCTCTAATCTATCGAAAAAATTATAAATATCGCCTTATATATTACAAGAAACAGAATAAAATTAAGGTTATATGGCCAGGATTGATAGAAGCAAAGAACACCCATCATCTCATATAAAAGTGGCAATACATCTAGGAAATAAATTTGAAAAGGTAATAGTTAGTAGTTAAGTAAAATAATAAGAGATAAAGAGTGATAGCGGCTAATGGCATTTTTGTGGTGATTAATTCAAAATTTATATGCAGACATTACGGCGTTAAGTTTGACATCTAAATTTAAGATTAATTATAAAAGAGAAAGGTGCTTATAAAAAAGAGCTAGTTCAGAAGCTGATGTGATAGTTTTTGGCTAAAAACTTAGTTTCGCCGTTTTTGGAATATCGACTAAAACGACTAAAAATAAAAATATTACCCACCATAGGAGGGGGAAATCGGGTAGTAATTTAAAAATTCCCATAATAACGTGAAAGAGAAACAAGAGAAATTATATTAAAGGTAGAGAATTAACAGGAATATAGAGATGGGATATGAAGACAAGATTGAAGGTAGATTTATTAGAAAGTTTAAAATTAAGAGAGCAGTTTTTCATTGGGAGCTAAAGATGGTAGAGGAGATGATCAATTAAGCGAATATAATAAGCAAATAGACTATCATGGCTTATACAAGTTATCAGGTAATATCTATAAAAGAAGCAGTATTATGATATAGCGGGCAAGGGGCATTAAATTGCTGAGGTGCATCTTGAAGTAAAAATTATTATAAGATATGATCGAAAATTAAGGTCATAGGTAGGACATAACGGAGAAGAAGAAAATTCATGGAAAAAACTTAGATAAAAATCAACTTGGGGAAAAGTCTTACATAGTTCCTGTAAATTAATTTAGTGGAGTTTCGAGAATAACAACATGTCTGAAGCAACTCATCATCTCAATAAGTATGATAGTCTCAAGTGAAACTTCAAGCCCAATTTTCCGATAAAGGTGTGTTCGACGTAGTTTAAAGGATAAATATAACGAGGTAATTAAGGAATGATTCATTTTGGGCGAAAAATATGCACCTAGATCAAATATTACGTATGCATGCATATTAAAGAGTGGATAAGTTATTGGTTGGTTGAAATAATGGATGAAATTAAAATGTAGATTATAGTAATAAAGAGTGTATATTGAGGATTTGAAAGGTCTACTAGATGATTTAAAATTACTTAAGAATTACATTTTGATCAGATGGTGGTTTAGAAAATCAAAATGTAAATTTGTGTTTTGGACTAAAGGTTCTATCTGTTTATGTTACAAGTAGTGTTTGAAAAATATTCATTTTATATTTTTATTTTATGAATAACAACAAATAATATTCATAAAACTATAAATATAAATGAACATTATTCGCAATATTCATTCATTATTCAGTAAAAATTATTTTTCGAAATATAGTTACTGGAACTAGCATGTGAAAAGGGGACTTAAACCTAAATGATTTCCGTTCTTTCTTTCGAGATTGTTAAAAAATATATATAGATTATTTGGATGAGTTTGAGTAAGTTGCAGAAAGGTTCGTCGGAATAATAGGTGATATACCCAGTTTAAAAAAAAAGGAAGTAAATCCTAAATAAATCGATCTACTTGTAAATTTTTTATAAAAATTATGAATAAATTATCATTTATTTAAAGTTTTATTTATATATTTTTTTCTCGTATCGTGGTGCATGATATACTTTTTTTTTGTGTTTTGATGTTTTGTCGCGTGACTTTTTGCTAAATTTTGCTTAAGCTTAAAATTTGTATGCTCAATTTAACAAGCTGATTGATCAATATATACTTTATATATAAATATTACCTTATGATTCCTTCACATTTTAGAAAATATGATAGTTATATACTACTATGTATTACAAATGCACCAAGCCATCATGTGCGGGTAAAGGGATATTTAAAAACAATATCTTTAATGTATCCAAACAATGCACTGGTATATTTTTTATTAATCTTATATGAAATAATCATATTATAGCTCTTGCCTGCTTAGAAAGTTTATCTAAAATATTTTCTCCAGCATCATTTGAGACCATAACCAACCCAGGTAAATTATAGAATATATTACTATTATGCTATCTTGTTAACCTGGAAATTTTCTTCTTAGAATATATTGCTAATATGCTATCTTGTTAACCTGGAAATTTTCTTCTTAGAATATATTGCTAATATGCTATCTTGTTAACCTGGAAATTTTCTTCTTAGCATCAATTGATATAATCCATTCAGGAACTCCAACTAATCAAGGTAAATTTAAAATATGCTATCTTGTTAACCTGGAAATTTTAATCTTAGCATCACTTGATATAATCCATTCAGAAACTCCAACCAACCAAAGTAAATTTAAAATATGCTATCTTGTTAACCTGGAAATTTTAATCTTAGCATTACTTGATATAATCCATTCAGGAACTCCAACCAACCAAAGAAAATTTAAAATATGCTATCTTGTTAACCTGGAAATTTTAATCTTAGCATCATTTATAATCCATTCAGGAACAATTAATTTTTTTAAAGCAAAATGCCCAATATAAATTTATAAAATCTAAATTTAATAAAAATCTACTATTTTCTAATAATTATATATATTCTCAAAATAGAGAAAACTATTATATGCATACATAGATATTTATTAATTATTAGGTTTTTACCTAAAAATTCACATCACTCTTTATCAATATTATGATCATGCTGTCAAAATTTTCATTTTTTAATGCTTTTTATGCCAAATTTACACCATTTTATATAATATTGATATGCAAAAGGTAATTACCCTAATTTTATATATTACTATTGAAATACAAATTGCAATCATTATTTTATATACCACCTATTGATATACAAATTGTAATCATCATTTTATATACAATTAATATTCAATTGCAATATATACAAATTTTTATACACCACTATCAATATACAGTCTTAATAAATATAATTTTATAATTGATATGCAAATTGCAATCTTTATTTTATATACCTTCATCAATATATAGTCTCAATAAATATAAATTTATATACTATTGATATATAAATTGCAATCATTATTTTATATAGCATTATTATACAATTGCAATCATTATTTTATATTTATCAATCACAATAATAATATTTATATATACTATTGATATAATTGCAAAAGTAATAATAAAATTGTTACGCTTTTATTTCATTATTCTTACAACATGCATGCTTATTCATTATATCATATTATTTATAAGTAATGTTGTTAAACGGCTCGATTTGAGCCGATTTTTATAAGTGGCTAACTCAATATTTTATTCGAAAAAATATTAGGCAAGCCAGCAGACCTTGCTCAGAGGTAGCATAAAGGTTTGGCATCTATTAGCTAAATCTCGAGGCTTAATCAATATTTTGCTAGCGAAAATTTGAGTTAGCCGTTTTTAAAAACTTGACTCAAATCGAGCCTTTTAACAATATTTGTAATCAGAATATGTATGATAAATAGATTTCCTAGTAATATAAGTAACTAGAAACCTCTAACAAAATAAATCTCATATTTATAGGGATAACAAGTATAAATCCCTATGATAAAAATTTTATTAATGGAGTTCCTAGTAGGAAAAGAGATTAACATATTCCCATTAATCATTAGAAATCTAAAAAAAAATTAAATATGAGTAAATCTGATATTTATAGGAATAATAAGTATTTATCTCAACGATAAAAATTTTATTAATGGAGTTCCTAGTAGGAAAAGAGATTAACATATTCCCATTAATCATTAGAAATCTAAAAAAAAATTAAAATATGAGTAAATCTGATATTTATAGGAATAATAAGTATAAATCTCGATAATAAAAATTTTATTAATGGAGTTCCTAGTAGGAAAAGAGATCAACATATTCCCATTAATCATTAGAAATCTAAAAAAAAATTAAAATATGAGTAAATCTGATATTTATAGAAATAATAAGTATAAATCTCTACTGATAAAAATTTTATTAATGGAGTTCCTAGTAGGAAAAGATATTAACATATTCCCATTAATCATTAGAAATCTAAAAAAAATTAAAATATGAGTAAATCTGATATTTATATGAATAATAAGTATAAATCTACGATTAAAATTTTATTAATGGAGTTCCTAGTAGGAAAAGAGATCAACATATTCCCATTAATCATTAGAAATCTAGAAAAAAAATTAAAATATGAGTAAATCTGATATTTATAGGAATAATAAGTATAAATCTCTACGATAAAAATTTTATTAATGGAGTTCCTAGTAGGAAAAGAGATCAACATATTCCCATTAATCATTAGAAATCTAAAAAAAAAATTAAAATATGAGTAAATCTGAAATTTATAGGAATAATAAGTATAAATCTCTACGATAAAAATTTTATTAATGGAGTTCCTAGTAGGAAAAGAGATTAACATATTCCCATTAATCATTAGAAATCTAAAAAAAAAATTAAATATGAGTAAATCTGATATTTATAGGAATAATAAGTATTTATCTTAACGATAAAAATTTTATTAATGGAGTTCCTAGTAGGAAAAGAGATTAACATATTCCCATTAATCATTAGAAATCTTAAAATAAAATTAAAATATGAGCAAATCTGATATTTATAGGAATAATAAGTATAAATCTCTACGATAAAAATTTTATTAATAGAGTTCCTAGTAGGAAAAGAGATTAACATATTCCCATTAATCATTAGAAATCTAAAAAAAAAAAAATATGAGTAAATCTGATATTTATAGGAATAATAAGTATTTATCTCAACGATAAAAATTTTATTAATGGAGTTCCTAGTAGGAAAAGAGATCAACATATTCCCATTAATCATTAGAAATCTAAAAAAAAATTAAAATATGAGTAAATCTGATATTTATAGGAATAATAAGTATAAATCTCTACGATAAAAATTTTATTAATGGAGTTCCTAGTAGGAAAAGAGATCAACATATTCCCATTAATCATTAGAAATCTAAAAAAAAATTAAAATATGAGTAAATCTGATATTTATAGGAATAATAAGTATAAATCTCTACGATAAAAATTTTATTAATGGAGTTCCTAGTAGGAAAAGAGATCAACATATTCCCATTAATCATTAGAAATCTAAAAAAAAATTAAAATATGAGTAAATCTGATATTTATAGAAATAATAAGTATAAATCTCAACGATAAAAAATTTTTTAATGGAGTTCCTAGTAGGAAAAGAGATTAACATATTCCCATTAATCATTAGAAATCTTAAAATAAAATTAAAATATGAGCAAATCTGATATTTATAGGAATAATAAGTATAAATCTCTACGATAAAAATTTTATTAATGGAGTTCTTAGTAGGAAAAGAGATCAACATATTCCCATTAATCATTAATCATTAAAAATCTAAAATAAAACTGAAATATGAGTAAATCTGATATTTATAGGAATAATGAGTAAAAATCTCTACTATAAAAATTTTAATAATGGAGTTCCTAGTAATATTAACCATATTGTATTATATATAATATTGAATTATAAATAAATTATATTAAATAGATAAATAATATTATAAATATATAAAATATTTATGTTAATAATATTAATTATTACATTATAATTAAATCATATTATATAATTATATATTACTAAAATTTATATTAATACAATTTATATATTTTTATTTATATTAAATTAATTTAATTACTTTAAATATTATATTAATAATATATTTTGTTAAATATTACAATTATATATTTTTATTTATACATTAAATTAATTTATTTACTTTAAATATTATATTAATAATATATTATGTTAAATATTACAATTATATATTTATTAAAATTTATATTAAATGATTTTAATATTAATTATATAATTATATTAAATATTTGATTAAGGTATTTACTAAAATTTATAATGATATTAATTTAATATTAAATACATAAATAGAAAAAACTATCTAATCTGTAAAAGTCAAATTTTTGATATTTTTTTTAATCTCTCGCTTCAAACTTATAGGGGCCATTTTGACAGCCATTTTAGCTTATTTGTCTTTTTGTTATTTTTAAGAGTATATAAAGCGGACCCGAACCTTTTTTTCTTTCATATTTTTATGCCTCACCAGTTATGATAGGTAATTTTTAAAAATAACGCCCAGGTAAGATATTTTTTTATAATCCAATTCACGTTCGATTTAAATCGAGCGCCTGACTATCGGAATGATTGGTAAGATAAAATTTATTATATAGAAAATTCACATAAAGAAATTTTGACATCCGAAAAAACTATTTACTGTAAATTTTTTGGCAACAAGTTATTGAACCATCATTATTTTTTCTCAATGTTGGACTGAAACAAACCTTTTCGGGGATCTGGGTTAGGGTTTGAATATATTTAAAATGACGGCTCAGCAGTAGATACCCACTTACCGAAAAAAAATGATTGCTTTAATTTAATTATAAATATTTGAATATTTTATAAAAAAAATACCAGCTGGATATACGGCTGCTCTTCTTTTAATTTCCTTGACAAAAAGTTTGGAAACATTTCCGGCAAATTGTAATATACCATCCATTTTTTCGAGCATCGAATGAGGCGGTAAAGTTTGAAATACCTTAAAATTGTTTTTATAAAATTTTTAAAAGAATGAAATAACTATTCTCTACGTACTAATGCATAAAAGGTTTAAACGGACAGGGAAACTCCGGCAAAAAATCTTAACGAGCTGAAAGGAGTCGGCTACACCTTGCAGATAGCTGCTCGGTTAATAAATCGCATATTACCGGGTTAAATGCAGTTTTAAACCTGTAATGTACTATTTAGACTTAACGAGCATCATGTAAAATATGAAAATTAAAGGTCAGCGTAAAAAAAAATTAAGACCGGGAAAAACAACTTATGCATAATAATTTTATGGGCTGGATAGGATAAAAAAATTATGGGCTGTGATCAATTTAGGCCGTGCAGATCTAATGTATAAATTAGGCCCTAAATGATATTTTACAGGTTTTAAATGACTTTTACAGATTTGGAATGTTTACTGTACGAATTATAAATGCGATATCTTAGAAGGATTCGGTTAATTTGAAATTTCATAATAAAATATAAATAATTATAAAATATGTGCTCTGGACAGGGTTGCCATGCCCCATCAGCGGGAGACTTCCGTAATTTTTTAGTTTACACGCAGACATCTCACTCCCGCAAAATTACTGCAAATGGAAATCTCCCGCAAAAATCTACCGCAATTTTTTAATTTCTCCAGCAATTTATTTTTAGCATTTAAACGTTTTTAATATATAAATAATAATTTTGTTTTAAGAGACAGTAATTTTAAAATAAATTTTAAATATTTATTCGAAAAACATGTCTAGTTTGTAAATTTCTTTCTATCCTGTTTTATTTTTATCCAATAATAAATCAACATCATTTCATTCATGTAGCAGTACAGGTACGTCGATTGCAATACAAACATATTCTCCAAAATTAATAAATAATACAGATGCAACTACAGTTGCGGAAATCGTATATAGCTATCATGTAGATCAACAATTACAAGCTATCTATAATCACAATGTGGGTCTAATCTTTTCCCCATAATATTTAACGACTCCAATATAAGTGCAAACTTTACTTGTGGTAGAACAAAAATGAGCAATGCTATCATAAATGTTTTAGGACCTGAGTCCAAGAGGCAATTCTAGACGATTTGAAATATGGGCATCCATGTGCAATTCTAACAGATGCATCTAATAAGGGAAATATTAAAACATTTCCCTTGATCCTTCGCCATTTCAACGAGAATAAGAGCATTTCAATAAAACTGTTTAAAAAAATTTCCTCGGATAGTGAAAAATTCAACGTTATAGCCAACCACATAATGGTAAATATAGCTGATTCAGGGTTATCAATGAGTTGAATGTCAGCTTTATGCGCTGATAATGCCTCTGTGGATCTTGACAAAAACCAAAGGGTATAAATACCCATTGAGGCAGCACAATAATGAATTAATACCAATTGGCTGTATATGATAAATATATTACATAATTCATGCAAGAAGGCAATGAATGTATTAATTGTAGATGTCGAAATAATTGCGATGAAATGTTTTAACGATTTAGCATCAACTAAAAGAGTTAATGAATTAAAAGAGTTGGTGGAATGGTCTGACTTGGAATGGTGTGAGTTGTTGCGATATGTACCTATCAGGTGGTTATCATTAATACCTGCCATAGATAGAATTTTAAAATTTTACGAAAACTTAAAAAATACTTCTTAAATAAAGTTTTAAAAGCTGTCCTAAAATTTTGAAAAATTTTTCCTAGGTTGAAATGGCAGAAGCATATTTGGTAATAGTTTCACATGCAGGAAATCTATTTTATGCAGTTAATATTCAGTTGCAATCAGAAGATTCTTTATTAATAAAGATTCACAAAATCATGCTACAGCTCTGTTCATCTCTACAGTTAAAAATGGCGCTATTGTCAAAATTATTATATTAAAATGTTCAAATAATACTCTAATTAATACATTTTTAAATGAAGCAAATATTTTTATTAGGACAATTTTAGAATATTTACAATCAAAATTTGATTTTAATAACTCTATTTACAAAAGTATTAATAATATCGCCTAGCGACACTTTATCATGCGACACTTTATCACTCAGTCATTTGATAACGCGACATTTTATCATGATATACTTAAAACTTAATTTATTATAATTGAAAAGTTAAATTTTGATAATATCTCATTTTTTGACTTTCATCATGATATACTTAAAACTTAATTTTATATATTTGAAAAGTTAAATTTTGATAATATCTCATTTTTGACTTTCATCATGATATACTCCTGTTGGTATATATTGCTTATTACCAAATAAAACGGCGCATACATATGCAAGGATGATAAAAGTAATAATATTATATATTTTAAGAGATGTAATTTAAATTTTATTATAGGAGCTGAAACAATTACTACCAGGGGCGCATCCGAGGAAAATATTGGTGGATTTCGAACAGGCACCGATAAATGCGTTTAGAGCTGGGTATCCACTCGCAGATATCCTTGGATGTTATTTTCATCTAAAACAGAGCGTTAATAGAAAAATAAACGATTTGTGAGTCGAATGACGACTTTCTATCGTATAGTAGGTGTTTATCGGCTCTTGCATATGTCCCAGACAGAGTTGTTAAAAGATACTTTTTAAATGGATCTAGATACAGATACAGATACATAGTCTCAAAAGTTATCTAGATACAGATACAGCGTCTAAAAAGTTATCAAGATACAGATACAATTTTTAAATGTATCTGTATACAGATACATTTTTTATTATGCTCTTATAGGTTTGCATAAAGCTAAATTAATATTATATTGTGAAAATTCATGAAATGAGCTAAAAAATTTATTGACGCGATATAACATTTATCAGAATATAACTAAAATAATGATTTTAATATAATATATGAAAATATATGATTAAATAATTATAAATAATTATTAGATTTCAGCAGAGTTGTTAAAATATCTAGATACAAGTATCTAGATCTTGTATCTAGATATAAAAATGTGGTATCTGCATATGTATCTAGATAGATTTTTGATTAAAATATCGGTATCTAGATATTTTTTAGACGATGTGTCTGTATCTAGATCCATTTAAAAAGTATCTTTTAACAACTCTGGATTTCAGTAATAAAATATTTTCAAAATTTTGATCATTTAGGCATCCTCGTTTATCTGTAAAGACATTTTTAGCAACACTAAATAGTCTTTCCACAGGGGCGCTTGAAGGAATTGTAGTGTTATATTTAATAAATAACAATTTTATATCAGGGTATTCTTTAAAAATGCTAAAATCTCTATATTCATTTTTGAAAAAATTATTTAAAATTTGTTGATTATCAAAATTTAAATCAATTAGAAATTATATCTGCTGTAGGGTACTGAAAAAAATCTGAAATTAAATTATTTGTTTTTTTTGGCAGGTTATTTGCTTGCAGTCAGTTGATGACTTTGATAATTCACCAGCTTATCTTTGTATCAATTGTTTTTTTTATTAAGATTTTCTTCCATTTGCAACCATGTCCAATCAAGTTTAAAAAAAGGGTGGAGCATGGTTGCTATAATATTATCATCTTCAAATAAGTTTACAATAAACCTAGAATTATTAAATAATATTAATTTACCTATCCTCAATCCCTTTAAGTAAGGCATCTAAGAGTGGTAAACAGATGAAATAAAATAAATTTTACAGTCAAATATTTTTATTTATAATAAAAAAAGGGGTATATAAAATGTATCTTAAAAAGTATCTAAAACAGATACAGATACCTCTAAAAAAATATCTAGATACAGATACAGATACCTTTCTAAAAAATCTATCTAGATACAGATACTACATTTTTATATCTAGATACTTTAACAACTCTGGTCCCAGAGGATGATGTTGGAAACTCATTTGATACTTTGGCAGAAATATTTGGTGAATTGAATGGCTCATCTGAGCTAATTTCCTACTTTGAGAAGACCTATATCCGAGGACGTAGAAATCCCAGTAAAAAAATATTCTTTTTATTATAAATTTATATATTTATAGGGCAACGAAATAACTTTGCAGCGCCTAAGACTATGAAATAAACACAATTCCACGTTAGAAGGTGTCGCCTGAACAACAAATTGTGTTGAAGGGTGGCACCATGGAATTCAATCCCTATACCAATGTTCTCATCCAACACTATGGAAATTTTTAGATGGGATACAAAAAGATATGCAGAAACATAAAGCTCTATATCTTCAAGTCGTGATGGGAACAACACCGTACTTATCAAAGAAATATGAAGATATAAAAAGACTAATTCAGATTTGTGTTTCAAATTACGGATTGTCGGATTCTTTAATATTTTTAAAAGCTATTGCCCATATTTCGTGACTATAAACTTTTGATAACATATTATATCAGCAACTATTGAAATAAAGAGAGAATTTACCTGTAAAAAAAAAAAAAAAAAATTAAATATATTATAAATAATTTATATTTTTACTCGTGATATATTGATTTATAGTTACTTATTAATAAAAAGTATAAATAGAAAATTATTGCTTGTCTCCTGTTTCCCTATATAAGATGATAATTAAGTTAAAAAAAATTATATTTATGTAAATTAAAATATGAGTTTTTTCTCAATAAAAAAAATTAATTTAAATTTTTTAAATATTGGAATTTAGACGGAAAAGTCAAAAAATGAGATATTATCAAAATTTAATTATTTTTTCAAATATATTAAATTAAGTTTTAAGTATATCATGATAAAGTGTCGCGTTAACATAAAAAATTAATTTAAATTTTTTAAATATTGGAATTTAGACGGAAAAGTCAAAAAATGAGATATTATCAAAATTTAATTTTTTCAAATATATAAAATTAAGTTTTAAGTATATCATGATAAAATGTCGAGTGATAAAGTGTCGCGTTATCAAATGACTGAGTGATAAAGTGTCGTCGTGATAAAGTGTCGTCGTGATAAAGTGTTGTCATGATAAAGTGTCGTCGTGATAAAGTGTCGTCGTGATAAATTGTCGCATGATAAAGTGTCGCGTGATAAAGTGTCGCGTGATAAAGTGACTCCAAATCTAATAATATGACCTTGAAATAGAAAACATCAATTGATGGTTTTTGTAATTTAATAAATAAATTAAAAATATCGATAGACATTGATGTCTTGTTTGAGGAGATAATTATTCTCTCTATTTTTTATGATTCTCCAGAATACTTAAAGTTAGATGGTCTAAAAGCAAAGGAGAAATGGGTGGAATTTTTTCGTAATAACGATAAATCCCCATGCTTGGAAAAAATATGCGAGTGTGTTTTATCTTTACCTCATTCTAATGCCTCATCGGAGCTTATTTTTAACCTGATGAGGACTGCCTGGAGAAAGGAGAGAAATCGGATTGCTTTAACAACATTAGAGGCCGAGCTAATTGTTAAACAAAATTATAATGTCATGCCAGGAATTTTATAAATATCTCGAAACGAAGGTAAACGTTTAGTTCCATTATTTAAATCTCAAATAAATTATAACTATTTAATTTTCCATATTTTTTATATATTTTTTATAATCTTATTTATACATTCGCATAAAATAAATATATTTTTTACATTGTAAAATTAATATTTTGAATATTCTGGCAAATCAATTACAATCTCCTCAAGCAAGACATCAATGTCTATCGTTATTTTTAAAATATTTGAACATTTAAATAAATTTTTAGTAATGGCGCTATAAAATTTATTGTCAATTTGTAAAGCATAATTTTGTGAATCTATATTTAAAAAGATTCTTCTGATTTCAACTTCATATTAACAGCATGTAGTAGATATCCTACATGTGAAATCATTCCTAAATAAACCTCTACCATTCATTCTTGAAAAAAATTTTCAAAATGTTAGGACAACTTTTATAATTTATTTAAGAAATGTTTTTTTAAAGGTTGTAAAATTTTAAAATTCTATCGATGGCGGGTATTAGGAACATGTCGCAACAAACTTTGGGCTAAAATTCTGTAAATACACTGTTTTTTGCCAAATTCACTTAGGCCAGTGGCGTAGACAAGGGGGGTTGGGGTTGAAACCACCCCCATAACCTCCGAAGAAAAAAAATTTTTAATTTAAAAAATATTTTTTAGATAGAAAATTTTTTTTTTTTTTAATATTTTTCTTTTGCGAATAATTTTATTTAAAAACGGTTTCAATTTATAAATAAAATTATATAAGATATGAAAATGAAATATATTTAAAAAAACAAATAAGAATTTTCAATTTTAAATGATAACATGGTTTAAAAATATATATTAAAAATTATATGTAAAATATTAAATAACAATAAAAATATATAGTAAAATATTAAATAACAATAAAAATATATAGTAAAATATTAAATAACAATAAAAATAAAAATATTGTAAATTTTTTCTAGCATAGTTAAATTAGATATTTATAAATTTAATAATAAAATTTATATTGTTAAACTAATTAGATTTTAAAAATTTTAATTAATTTTTTATAATTTTTAAATAAAAGAAAAATCATTTAATTTGGTAAATATAATGAGAAAGTAAAGGTGATAATAATATGTTTGGGATTAAAAATTTTAAACCTAGAGTAGTTTCTAGATAGTCCAATCGCTTAAATATTGATGCATCTACGATTGAGGATTTTTATAAAATAAATATTTTTACTCCCCTTATTGATACATTTTTATTTCAATTAAAGGAAAGATTTATTAGTCACAATTTAATTCTAAACAGCTTTCATTTTCTTTTGCCGGTTGAGTCTGAATACACTTGAAACGCGAGAGGATATTAAGTCTCAAAGTTTTATTCTGATGAATTATTAGGATCGTATGATAAGTTACTTTGTGATGTCGAATTTTGGTATAAAAATTTTGACAGAATAGAGTACTCTTTGAGACTAAAAAATGCTTTGCATGCACTTTCTATTGTAATAGCACTTTATGTTCCCTGCCTAATATCAAAACATTGCTTTTTATTTTAGCTACCTTACCGATTAGCAGAAAGGTCTTTTTCAACTTTGAAAATAAAAACCTATTTAAGAAATAGCACCGGTGAAAGCCGTTTAAATAATTCGTAATATTAAATATTCATAAGGAGATTATTCTAGATAAAAATTTGATTCCAGATAAATTAGTCAAATCTCAGAGAAAAATACACCTCTCTTTATAAATTCAAATCATAAAATTGCTATATTATTATAACATAAAATTTTTATATTCAATAAGTAATTATAATGAATTCTTAGTCATAATATTTATATATTATACTATTTTTAAATAAAAATATTGTATTTGCAATAAGAATTAGTGATCTGTATCGGGTCTAATTTTTCAAGCCCGGCCCGGCCCAAAATTATTTTAAAAATGTTTTGCCAGCCCGAACCTGAAATTTTTTTTAAAAAGTTTTGTCGGCCTGGCCTGAATTTATTTAAATATAGAAATTCATTTTTATAATTACTCAAAATAAAAGATATATGTTACATGGCGTCTAGTTTTTTTAAATAAAATCAAATATTTTTATTTTACAGAAAAAATTTAACTATATTTAGATATATTTTTAAAGAAATTCCAAAACCCGATCCAACCCAACCCGAGTTTTTTTTAAAAATATTAGGCCCGAACCCGATTTTCTTACTTTTGCAGATCTCTAATAAGAATCATTAATGTTTTATTAATATACTCATTTGTTATCATTAAAATAATACATAGTTAAATAAAGGGGTGTTATTTATACTAAAGTATTTTAATAATAAATAAAATCTATAATGAAATTCTCTGCAAAATTTTGTTATATGCAAAAATTTAATTAAAATAATTATTTTTAACATAGAATAAGATATATTGAGTGTCATTAAAAATGGGAGGTGGGGGGGGGGGGGCGATTTTATTCTTCTTTCTACACCGAATGGATTGAATTAATTTACAATTGACTAAACATTGATAAAATTTTCAGAATAAGGCTTTCAGTCGCGTAATAATCATAAATTGGTCAAAATTTGTTACTAATATTTTTTCCCATTTATGCTGGCTACTATAGTGGTTAGACACTAATAAACACAAAATATTGGCAAATTTTTAAAATATGGTTTGGGGGTGAAGCTCCCAAAAAAATTTTAAACCCCCCCCCCCATGGATCAATCCTGGCTACGCCACTGACTTAGGCATTATCATATCAGAAAGCTGACATGCAATTCATTGATAATCCAGAATCTGCTGTATTTACCATTATATGGTTAGTTATTTCTTTGAATTATTCACCTTATAAGGGAAAAATAAATAAATAGTTTTATTGAAACGACTTTAATTTTGTTGAAATAGCGGAGGATCAGATGCATCTTTTAGAATTGCATATGTATGCCGATCTTTCAAATCGTCAAGAATTGACCTCCTGGATTCAGATTCTAAAACATTGATGATAGCTTTGTTCATTTTTGTTCTACAAGTAAAGTTTTTATTTATCACGGAGGCGTTAAATATTATGGGGAAAAGATTCTACTCATATTGTGATGATAAGTAGCTCTGTGAATGTTGTACTAAATGATAAGTGTATACCATTGCCGCAACTGTACAATATTACCTTATTATGTATTTAAAAGTGATACGTGATAATTAAGCGCCTATCCCTATAATGTCATACACAAACAGTCGGTAGATTTCCAATTGTGGTAGTTTTGCGGGACTTTCGCATAAAATATATTTTTTACATTGTATTAAAATAGTTTTTTTTATAAAATTAATATATTTTAATAAATAAAGATGTTATTTTAATAATGAAGATAGTATTTAAATAATTTTGTCTCGTACTATAATCAACTATTTTATTTTGAAAAATAGTTAATGACTTTGTATAATAAACTAATTATTATAAAAATAATAGGCGGATAACTAAGTCAATTCAAAATCCCGGCCGCCTGCAAAAAAATTTTTTTTAGCAATTTTTATATTTCTACCACAATTTAATATTTTTCCAGCCAAATATCAAATTTCTCCCGCAATTTGAAAATTTTGACCTGGCAACCCTGGCCCTGGATGAAACTAACTTATAAAAATAGGTTATTGATGAAAAATTCATTCATTTTATCACATAATATATATTTCCCAATGAAATTTTTTAACAATAAAAACATTTTTATTTAGTATTTTCCCATTTATAATACTTTTTGTTAATATAATTAATAATTTTAAAAAAATTAAAATTTAATTAATGTTTTATTAGTTTATTTCAATTTAATCAATATTTTTACACAAACTATACTAGAATTAATATTTATACATCCGAACCGAATTATTATTATCAACAAAATGTAGTATAAATTAAATGGGATAACAATTATCAAGATTTTTTGATATCTCCTTAAATTTTAACAATATTAGAATGATTTCCATAGATGTTTATTATATAAATTAATAATTTTTGGATTAACGCAATATATAATATCATTTATAATAAAATTTAGTTATTAATTAAAACATATATGCAAAATGAGGTAATAAAATGTTTTCATTTGAAAACAAAAAAAAACTAATTATTTAAAAGCAAACAAAAAAGAGTTTTGTGCTTGAAACACATTAAAATATCATGTATGTTAAAAACTATATATTATGGTGAAAAGGATATTAAATGCAAGTTATTTATTAATTTTTACTTTGCAAAACAGTGGTAACATATCATAAAGTTTGGATTCGTGCTCACAAATACTCTGCACAGTTGTATTGTCCTGCTTAATATAATCATTAAAAAGTTTTTGAAGATGATTTAAGGCTAATTTTTGTTTTTCGTCAACTTTGAAATAGTCCTTAATGTCTATATTCAAATCAATCGCCTGATCTCCATTTTGTGCTATCATCTGTGACTCACTTTCTTCTTTGGTATAGGTAGGTGTGGATATATGAAAAATGGAAAATCTTTTTTTGCTTGAATACTTTTTCATTATTTATGGATTGGGATAATGGGCCTAATTCAAATATTAGAGATATATATATGTAAATTTAAATATATGTTTCACTAAAAGCAAGAAATAAATTACCTTAATGATTAAAATTTCAGTATTAGCAAATACTTTTCATTATAACTGGTGTTAGTTGTCACTGTTCAAAAAGTTTTAATGTTAATTTAAAAAATTATTTTTTAAATTTTTACACAAATATGCACATAAAATAAAAATCAATATCTAAAATAAATCTCATTCAAATTTTTTTAGAAGATTATATACTATTAATTAAATATGTCAATTTATGTTTTAAAATCAAAATTCTGCACAATCATAGATTCATTATCCTTCAATATCTCCAATTCTGATGAAATAATTTTTTAGAAGTCTATTGAAACTCCTATTTCTTTATTAAAATAGCTCAGTATTATTAAGGTATTTCCATTATTTAAGGTCCATAAAGAATCAAATTCTCTAAAATGTGCTTTTTAGTTGCAGACCTATGATATTCAAAACTATTTTTGAGAATTAAGGCACACTAAAATAAACTATATATAAATTTTCGTTTTTCCAAAAATTTGAGGCAAATCTTTTTGAAAATTTTTATTAATTTTTTAAATAGTTTATATTGAAGCATTTCATATAAAATATATTTTATATGTCAATTAGACATTTAGAAATGTGATAAAAATTGAAATATAGACAATAAGTTTGCAATGCACACTTCATACTAATTATTATTACATAAATTATTGTTATTAAAGTATGGTTTGATATTTTTTGATTCCCTATATTTTAAATTGGATATATATTCTTGTCTTATTACAAGGCCTGATTCTACCTATAGGCCTGATTCTAGCTATACCTATTTGGGGAGGGAGGCAGACAAAAATTTTGAAGGGGCAGTTAAGAAACTTTTTTTCAACACCAAAAAACAAATATTATATAACTTTGATATAGTTTAATTGTGTTTGTATAATACTTGTTAGGGATTTAATCATAAAATATATGTAATTTGAAAATATTTATAACTATATTACAATAGATATGATGAACAATGATTGAGCAGTGTAAAAATAACAAAAATAAAGTATTAACAATATAATTTTGGTTGAGATGTATTTTTAGATATCTTGAAAACATTTCCAAAATTAATAGTTTCGGTTATGTTTTTTCTATATCCTAATAAAACCAAGTGACCCATTCTTATATCACTACTCAAACGTTTATCTGATTTAATAATTCTTTTAATGGTGAAAAGGTTGACTCATAACTCGATGTGGATGATCTAAACTCTATTTAAAAAACATTTGAAAATTAGAAATTTGTCAAAATGATGTAACATAATCCTTTTCCTTATAATTTTCTAAACTTTTAATAAATATTTTTAACACTCTCAATTTCAATTAATTTTTTTTATGTCTAGAAAATTAAAATGGATATCTTGATCTAAATTTTATTTAAAATTTGTTAATTAGTTTATACTAAAAAATTGGAAAAACTTTTAATCTTAGGATTCTCTACCTCTATGTATTTTGCAATTATAATGTTTCTCAAGGCCCCTTTATTCAAGAATTTTCTCATTAGTAAAACCCATTTTGATATAATTGATTCATGTTATAGATTTTACAAGGAAGGCAAAAAACTGCATCAGCTTCATTAATTATTCAACATATTCATATTTATAAAACTTTAAAGAAAATTTTCGATTATTAGTAACAGACTTTTTGAGTGACGTTAGTATTGTTAAAAAGCCCGATTTGGGTCAATTTTTAAAAACAGTCCAATTCCAATTTTAGCCAAAATAATATTATGTAAGTCTCGTCATTTGGCAAATATATGTCACCTTTCTGCTAGCTATGGTAAATATCTCCAGTCTCGTCATTTGGCAAATATATGTCCAAACCTTTCTGTTAGCTATGAGAAATATCTCCAGAATTATATAATATTATTTTGGTTATTATTTGATAGAATTATTTTTTTTAAATCGACCCAAATTGGATTTTTTAACAAGACTAGATGTTGGCCTATTTTGGTGATACTTGAATATTATATAAACTGTATTTGAAACATTTTTTTATCTTCTCTTATCAAAGAATAGTAAAATTCTATGTATTTAGGTCTTATGTTTAATGTTATATTTTTTTAATATCTGTAATTTATATATAATTAAATAAGAGAAGGGAAATATTAAATGGGAGGTTTTTGCATAATATTAAAAAAATTCAGAATGGTTTTAAACTTCTAAAATTACTTTATATAGAATGGAATTTAAAAATTATATAAAATTACTTATTTCATATTAACTTAAGAATAATTTTCCTTTTAAGAATTAGAAGAAGTAATTTATCATAATATTTCGAAAAATGAAAGGGAGAATTAAATAACCATAAACAAGATGTCTTTTTAAATGTCTGATTGTATTAAAATAAATGGCAATGTAAATTTCTGGTTAAACAAATTAAGCATTTTATAAAAAAATCTAGAGAAAGCCTTAATCTATTTTATAAAATATAGGGAGAAAGTGTAAATTAATAGAAAACCTATTTTTGTGGAAACATAAGTAAAAATCAAGAGGTTCATGATTAAAAACCACATAAATTTGAATTTTTTTAGCCAGTCAGATTGATTTAAAAATATTATATACCATATTTCTAAACAGATAAGAAAAAAAGGTTTTTCCATTTGTTTTTAGTATAAATTTATTTTATTTTAAATTAGTCATAAATGATAATTTTTTTGTATCTGTGGTATTAACTATTGTATGAATTCAAAAGTAATAAAATTGATTTGATGATACTTATTTATTTTTTTCTATATCTTTCTCATAATTTATTGTTATATTGTGAGTTAGGCACATTACTTAAAAAATTAATAGTTGCAATTATGGCAATTTAAGAAAAAATATATAGTTGCTTAAATTACCATTATCTGGAGAAAGAGATTTTATGGCTAAAGAAACTAATTTCTTCTTAAATAAATTGTAATAAAATAAAAATTGCAGATAAATATTGGGTAGAAAGATTCTCATTATGATTAATTAGAAAATGTTATATTTTAGAAAAATTGGGAAAGGGAAAATGATGCACCCAACATTTCTTTTTCCCATATTTGAAACAAAATACTTCTTTAAAGAGGTCAAATTTTAATCAATTTTAAGGCTTAATATTTTAAAAAAGGGTGAAATGTCATTATTGATATTTCAAATTTTTAGTTTAAAGAAATTCATGGGTTTGTATTCTATTCATAGTCTATTGATATTTTACTAACCAATAGTAATATAATAGTCAATTTAATAAACATTTGGAAAATTTATGAAGTAATAAAAACAAATGTTACATAGTTAATTCATATATATATAATGGTATAACTCAAAATAATAGAATTAAAAAGAGGGAAGAATTTAAAAGAGAGATAAATTTTGCAATGTAATTACCTGAATGTAACATTGGCCATAAATATTTGTCCTGTATATTTAAAATTAGGTTATTTTGATCTAAAGAGCATAAACTTAGGATAATAATTTATTGAAAAGAAAACTCTATAAAAGCATAAAAGATTCAAAATACTACGTGATAGATACTGTTCCATAAATGGAGGGTAAAAAGAGTTATAGCTATAAATTACGTGATACGTGATAAAAGCGTTTTCGCCCTCTGGTTGTGGATACAACAGAGCTACGCTAGGTTTTCCTCAAAATCCATCAAACTGGATAGTTAATTTAGGGGAGAAAAAAAAATGAGGAGCCCTTCACACGTTTGTGGGCAAACCGCACGTACTTGTATGCGCAACAGTCCGAGAACTGTCGCTTAAACGTCTATAGGCTAATCAACAAAAGAAATGGGCAAAACAAAAGCCTATACCCATGAACTGCCAAAATAATTTAATTACTTTAAGGGTGGGTGGTGGCTAATTTTAAGTTTAACATCTAATGTAAGCCTTGATAGTTACTTAGAACTAATTGAGAATATGTTCATATCCATTGAGATTAGAAATTATTCATGAAAATTCCATATGAATTAATGCATGAATGACAATAATATTAGATTTTTTTTAAATCTTTTTTTTTGGTGTATCCATGTATCCTAAATATCAAAAATATAAATAAATAAATTTATTATTTAATAAAAAAATATTTTTAATGAAAGAATAAAATACGTGATACGTGATATAGAACGTTTACGCCCTCTAGTTGTGGATACAACAGAGCTACGTTAGGTTTTCCTCAAAATCCATCTGACTGAACAAATTAAAAGGGGATAAAAATAAGGAGCCCTTCACGCGTTTGTGGGCAAGCCGCACGTACTTGTACGCGTAATAGTCCAAGGACTATTACTTAAACGTCTATGGGCTGATGTGGAAAGGACAAAATAAGCACAGCCCACACCCATAAGATGCTTATATACATAATAGATTTTAAAGGCAAAGGGGGACCTAACTTTAAGATGAGAAAAATGATAGCAAATAATAGATGAAAGGAAAAGTTTAATACAGAATAAGGAGAGAGAAAAGGGAGCAAAAGTAAAATAAAGAAGATAAAACAAAAATAAAAAATAACCTGTGTCAGGGAGCAGTTTATGAGAGGTTCAAATAATTTGATTTGATCTTCAACAGTTTATTTATTGATTTCTTATCCTTATTCAACCTTAAAAACTGATTCGTGTTGAGGTTTAAATCCAAGATATACTTCACTGCCCTATAAAACCATAAAGTTTTATAATTCCCATAGACTATACCGTTGAATGAGTATAACCAATTGATCGCCTCCAGGACCAGGCTACTATTTGTGTGATTCCGCAGAATGTGAGCAAAAAAGGTCAGACGTTTCTTTTTCAAAGCCACATGCACTAGAGTGTGACGTGACCACCGCCAAAGGTTAACATTAGAGATAATGTTAGGGTAAAAAATGCCGTTTATTATCCTAAGACATTTGTTGACCAACACCTGTAACCTCCTGATCTCTGTTTTCGTAATCTCCCATATATCACCGCCGTAAAGGAGAATTGGGATGATGGTGGAATTGAAAATACGTAGCCTAGTGTGAACCGATATCTCCCTGGATTTCCACAGTTTGAAATATTTGTAAAAAGCAACCCTTGAGTTATGAATTCTAATTTTTAGTTAATCGTGAATACCCCTATTATCCATGTTTACCCCAAGATATTTATAGGAGGACACCACCTTGACCAACTTTCCCCCAACCATCCAATCAACCAAAGGGGGCGCATGAGATGAGGGCATAATCACCGTCTTATCGAAGTTTATATTCAATCCAACCTTTAAGCTGAAAGAATTAAGTATCAAGACTACATTGTGGGCCTCCTCCAAGCTCTTGGCGAGTGTTCTAAATACTTTTTTGCCATTTACAAAAATTTTGTATTTTTATTAAGAGAAATAAATGAATTAAAAAACAATTTTTCTTAAATTTATAAATTTGTATAATTTTTTATGAAACAAGTAGCAAGTAATATTATTTTTCGTTCTTATTTTTTTTGGTTGAATGGGCATGTGCAAAAATTTATAAATTAAGTTTATTTTAATATATTTAGGACATGCCTTCTATATTTATAAAGAAAAGAAAGGATTTGATGTTGTTTTTGAGCAGAAACTTAATAAGTGCGCAAAATAAGTAAACAACATTTTTATGTTCTCATATTCAATTTTAATATCATAGAAAAAAATATTTAAAATGTCATTACACCTATTTTTAATTCTTTCGAACGAATTCCCATTTAAAACTAACATTTATTAAAAAGTAAAATTTTTTACACTAAACTCATAATTTTAAAAATCAATTAAATTTATAAAATTATTCAAAAAATTTCTAAATAAAATTATTTGTTAAATATTTTGGAACATCAATAGCATTGCATAAAAATATACAAAAAATTTGAAATAAGCTATATTTATTATAAAAGAGATATCTATAAACTTATTTTTGAATAAATAAAAATTTTCGATTTATTATTGAAAAGACAGATATCCTTATTTTTAACTAGAATAATTTTCCCATATAAGAATCAGTGTAATAAGTAGTGTTGTTAAACGGTTAAGCCGAGTCGACTTAGCTACGACTCGAGCCTAGTTTCTAGTCGATAAAGCGGCTCATTTAGTCGGCTAGCTTAGTCGGCTTGCTTAGTCGGCTCACTTAGTCGGCTCGCTTAGTCGGCTTGCTTAATCGGCTCACTTAGTCGGCTCGCTTAGTCGGCTCACTTAGTTGGCTCACTTAGTCGACTCAGAGGTTAGCTTGAGTTTAATTTAAATTTAGAGCCAAAATTTATTTTTATGTTATTGAGATATTTTAAATAATAATGTAGAATTTTATTTATTTATTTTTAGTGAAATAATTTATTTTATTTATATTTAATGTTAATATTTTATTATTATCAAACAAAAAATTTTTTTTAATTTTATTTCAAATATGTTTTGATCTTATAATAAAAATGGATTTATTTGATTTTTTTTAAATAAAAAAAAAATTCATATTTTCGAGCTAAAAATTTTAAGCAAAAAATAATTTTTGAAATACAAAAATATTTTATATTTTGTTGATTTTTTATAAATTTTTAAATCTTTTTTGAAATACTTTTATTAATTTTATCATAAATAAATAATCTTTTAGGTCAAATCTTCTATAGTTTTTTTATATTATTTTTATAAATATATCTATATTTTAAGTTTATTTTATTATAAGAGATGGTTTTTCTAAATAATTTTTTTCTAAATATATCTATATTTTAAGAATATATAAAGAGCTGGTTTTTCTTTTTCTAAACAATTTTTTTTATAAATATATCTATATTTTAAGTATATTAAAAGAGGTGGTTTTTCTAAATTATTTTTTTATTAATATTTATGTCAAACTTTTTTTTAATGCGACAATTGTCATATGCGTTATTTTTTAAGATTTTTGAAATTTCTGGACACAAAAGGGTTATAATATAATTTATATTGTAAAGATATTATATTATAAATTCAATGAAGATGTTCCCTGGAAAAAATGATAATTATCATAATAGGTAGATATTTTTGAACATATAAGATTTTTTTGTGACGCTAATGGGCAAAAATATGTTTCTTTAACAGGTAAAATTTAATGTAGATGTACCCTAGATAAATGACAATTGTCATAATAGTTATTTTTAAAGTTTTTTGACGTAAATAGGCTAAAATAAGTACTGCTAACATGTCTAAATAAAACTTCAGTGAAGATGTACCCTAGAAAAGTAAAGTTTTTTAAATTTTTTGACTTAAATAGGCTAAAATAAGTATTGCTAACATATCTAAATAAACCTTCAGTGAAGATGTACCCTAGATAAGTGACAATTGTCATAATCGTTATTTTATAATTTTATTGATGCAAATCGATAAAAATATAGATTTTAATCATGTTAATTTAAAAGCTCGCGTGTTGTTATTATGGCATTTATATATCAAATTGTTTAATTAATTAAAAAGTAAATATTTAGCATGAATTATAATTTTATTCATATAAATAAAACTTATATTTTATATATTCGTTTGTTTAAATCAATTTATTTTATATTAACCTATTAAACAATTAATTTAAGAATGTATATAAATTGTTAAAATTTATTATATAGTGAATGATAAAAGTTATATATTTAAAATAAAATTGTACCTTTCTATTATCATCATCTTATGCCTATAGCCTTGCCTACTTTTTCATGTATATTATCACATGTTTTTATAAATAATAAATGTAATGACTTATTTTAACTATTTTTATTACTATCTATTTTCATCCACAAATATTATATATATATATATTTTAAAAGTTAATTGAACAACTTAAATATAAAATAAATAATATTCAAATTTAAATCAATCAACATATAAAATAAATAATATTCAAATTTAAATCAATCAACATTCCCCCTCTTCTACAAATAACGAAGCTTCTTCTCAGCAGTCATCGAGAGCTTGTTGTCCTAGAAGTTTTTCCTGTTTCGATTGTACTCGGTTTCATATTGGTTAACGCATAAGTCTCAGATGTTTTCGTAGGCTTGATTCTATCACGTAGGTTTGATAAAATCGTTTATTAGAGTTGCGTGAGTTTGTACGTTTATTGTAGGCTTGAATCAATTGCGTAGGTTTGATAAAATCGTTGAACGTTATCGTTGGTTTGATATCCTTATCGTATGTTGTTCACATTTCTCAAAATTGTTATTATCATTTTTCATAATTAATCCAGTTGAATATTGGAATTTGGAATAAATCGGAATATATAATTTGGAATAGTTGATCAAATCAAATGTATGAATAATATGCACGAATAAAATTTTGAATTTCGGAACAATAAAATATTATTATATTATTTTTTAGGTGTTAAGTTAATCATAGCGTTTTATACTTTTAGCGTTTTACATTTTTTGCGTTTTACATTTTTTAGCGTTTCAATATTTAATTAGTAGCGTTTTAATATTTAATTTATTTTTATTTATTTTCAATCTCCGAGGTTAAAATATGCAAATATTATGCACCTTTCCCTCTCTTAAAAAAAATTTAAATTTCACACAATATTTTTCTAAAATAATGATGTTTAATTTTTACATAACCTTTTGTCTTCAAAAGCTTTATTTCAAAAACATTTTTATCATATTAAGTATTACTTATAAGGGTTATTTAAATCAATCCCTTTTAATTCATATGTTTTAATTACATTTTAACATATTTAAAATTAAGTTTTATCTTCTTATTTAGGATTTTTAATGGTTTATTTTTAATTATATCTAAGAATTCATCTTTAGGTTTTGTTAAACAATTCGTCATCATTCAAGAAATCAAAAAATATCAATATTATCCATTATGATTTTACATTTTAGTAATTTTAAAAATTTATAACATGCCTTTATCCTGGCATAAAATTTTAATTTTTAATAACTTTTCTTCTTACGTGGATTAGAATAATAAGTAATCATCATTGGTCTCACAAAATAGAATTCATAACCTAACGTCCAACTTTCATATTGGTTCTTTCTAGGTTGCCACCTTAGGTTAGGT